CGGTGGAGCAGCGGTGCCAAAGTGGTGCTGGAGACCCCCTGGGCTGTGCTCGCTGCCGCACCGAGCTGCCTGCCTGCAGATCTGGCTGTCATGGCTGCGCGGAGGGAAGGAGCAGGAGGGAGTGGGGATGGGGCAGGGGCAGGCTGGAGGAGGAGGAGGGGCGATGAAGGTGAGAAGCAGTGAGGGGAAGAAGCACAGCACCTGGAGATCGGCCAGGGGAGGGGACAGGTGCGGTAGTGCCACTGCTGGGGGGGGCACATGGGCACAGCTGGGCTGTGCAAGGGCTGCCAAGCCCAGCGTGCAGGGGCCAAGCTCCCTTACCTCCTCTGCTTAAAACCTGAACCCTGCCTGGTCCCCGCCTCCTGTGCTCCTGCCAGAGGGATGAATCCATAGCCCCTGCCCAGACCCTGCCTGCCTGCCCATCCAGGGTGCAAAAGCCACGGAAGGGCTCAGGGGTCACTGGAAGCAGGCAAGGAAGGAGGAAAGCAGGAAAAGAGCATTGCTTTGACCTGGTGGCAGTGGTGCCACAGTGTCCTGAGCAGGGGGCAGAGGGTGCTGCAGGGGACATGGTGCTCACCGGGAGGTGGAAGTGGTGGTGACGCTGCCTCTGCAGTGGTGCTGCTCCTGCATGTCCCTGAACCCTCTCTCCAAGCTGCTGTGGGTCTGCAGCATCGTTTAACCCATGTGGGTAATCAGGGTGTTCATGTCCCGGTGGGGTCTCAGCTCAGGACCAGCCCCTCCTGGTCCCACGCTGCCGTACCCAGTGTGGGTCTCGGAGCCTGAGAGCCTTCTCCTCTATAAAAGCAATTGGATTTCAAGCTAGCGGTGTCCTCTGTGGCGTATCAGCCTTCATCCCTGCATACATCAGTGCCATTGCTCTGCCAGTCTGTCCCTCCTTTGCTCCTCCTGCCTTTGCTGCATCACGTTTCTGTCTCTGCGTTGGGCTGGTGCCACCGTTGATGGGTCTCCAGCACAAGCTGTAGGCAACGGGCTGCAGCTGCTGGACCCGAGGGCGACAAGTTTAACTCAACTTTTTTCCCCTCATCTGTGTCTCTGTATTGTAAATCCAAACCAGGCTGCTCCACCTCCCTCCACTTCCGCTTGCTCCCAGCTTGACTTTCCGGCTGCCTTGAACCACTGTGCATCTCTGGGTACAGCACTTTGCTCCAGGAGCTGCCTAATTGAAACACATGGCACAGCAGCTTCTCTTGGATTTCTTCGTGTCAAAAACGACGCGTTTTACCAGATTTCTCATTTTCCAGAGTTGCCTCTGGGCTTCGTGGGTTGTTCCCCATCAGCGTTCAGCCTCTGCGTAGCAACTCCCTGCCAGGTTTCCCTGCCTGGCCCTGGAAGAGCTGTTTGTTTGCTCTTCTTCCAAGAAGGGGAACAATAAACACTGGCTGGATCAAAGTCCGGCGCTGGGACGTGTGATGCAGGTTTAAATCCCGTTGGTGCCAGCGCATCCCGGGTATCTGATCCGGTCCGTCGGCGCCGCTCACAGCCGCCCCGATTCACTTGGGGACAGCGAGGGATCACGTCAAATAGGGGTCAGAGAAGAGCAGCCTTGGGGGTTGACTTTCAGAGGGTGTCTGCAGGGTATCGCATTCAATTTTAGTGTTTTCAGCAATTAATCTGGCAGAAGTGGCTGCGATTTGGGGGCTGATAATGGTATCTGGATGCAAGAGTTGGGGAGGGACAAGCAGGGGGGACCCGGGACGATGGCGTTGCCCTCTGCCATCTCTTCCCCACTCTCATTTCTGCACTTCGCAGTGTCAGCAAATTAAAGCTTTTGCCTGAGAATCCTAATATGATTTCCCCGTTTTATTTTTGGCCTTTTTAAACTCTCTTTGTCCTTTTTTTTTTTTTTAAAACTTTTTCCAAACTGATTGTTTAAATTAGCTTTAAGAAAAAAATATAGTTTCCAGGCTTTCATACCAGCATCTAAGCTTGGCTTGGGGAAGCAGCACTGGGTGGTGTTTAGCTGTGTAAGTGTGTGTAAATACCAGCAGTGTCTAAGCAGAGCCCAAGTAATGTTTTCTTCCAGGAATATCAAATCCTAGAGAAGAGATACTGCCAAACACTTTGAGGTGCGGGTTGCCAGAGGCGGTTGTTTTCCTCATAAAGAAATTTTTAGTTTGATGTTTTCTCCAATCCAGAACAAAAAAAAAGAGAACGTAGTAAAACAGACAGCGCATAGCTTGCTGCTTTATGTTTATGGCTAGGCGATTCAGCAAATAAAAGAGCAGCTTTTTCTCCTGTATACCTGTTTCTAAATTGTAAGACTGATGCTATTAGGGGATGGTCATGCTTGTCCTGCTGCCATCACAGCCTTTGGTGACAGACATTTAAGTGTGGGACGAGGTCTCGGCTTGCTGTGATGCTGAGGCACGAAGGCTCCTGACCACGTAGAGACAGTCTCCCAAGCCTGGAAATACCCCAGCCTTCCTCTGCAGAAAGGGGTTTGAGGATGAGGAGGGGGAGGAATCAGAGACATCAGTGTCAGGCATGAGCATGGTCATACCTGTGGATGTTACTGCCACTGCCTCCACTCGGGCCGCCTCCTCCCTGCCATATTGCAGGCGGTTTTCCCCTTCCACAGCAGCAGGAAGCTGAGTAAACGCTGTCAAATCCTGTTAGCTGCCATTAGCGTTTTCTGTCTTGGCAGCCAAACCCCTC